ACAATCAGAGAGAGGCCACGAGGGAACTGTGCAAAAAGCAGAAAATATCAAAAGCAAGAGAGAAATGTAAGCAAAAGCCAGTGAAGAACAAAATCACCCAAAGAAACAGATGAAGAATTGAGACAAATAGCACTTCGTAGACTCCAAAAAGAATTAGAAACAAAGGGGTCTTTCTTAAAAAAAAAAAAAAAAAAGTTCAAGGAAGAAGTACAAGGGTTCAAATGATATAATAGAAGATAACTGAAACATGTGAAAAAAATATGCTGACAGAGCTATAAATACTACAGAGATAAAAGCCACTTAAGCAAGTACAAAATAATATTTGAGAACATAGTAAGAAAAAAATGTTTAATGGAAAAGCACAGTAAGAAAAATAAAAAGTTAAAGGGGAAGATCACAGATATGGAAAACCAAGGAGAAACATTATACATATTTTCAGGGTTACTAAAGTAGAAAGCAAAACAAATAGAAAATATTTTTTCATTATAATTTTAAAATCTGAAGACATAAAAACAGACTCTACTTCTCAGACGTCAGTGGCAGAAGCCAAGAAAAACCAATATAGATGATAAAAACCAGACAAAAATCAATATATTTACTTAACTTTTAGTTTACTAAAAATAGTCCATGGATATCTGCCCAAAAAGCAACACAAGAACACATGAATGATCAGGTGGCATCAGCCTTCACAGGAACACAGATGCCAGACGACAGTAAGGCCTTGTTTTCATATTTCTGAGAAAAATAAGAATGAAGATGAAATAGCTCTCATAATTATGACTAACAATCAGAAATAATGAATAATAACCTCAATTTTGAAAAGGTAGTAAAACAGGAAGAGGGAAAGGTAGTTAGAATAAAATACCATCAATTCCCCATCTTCCTTAGCAAAAAGTCAAAAGATGTTTTTGAAAGTTAAATTCCATCTAAGCAGAATTGCCAGAACTCAAAAAGTGGGTTTTTTTTCTCCCTTAACTCTTAAGTAACAGCATCACTCTGATGATAGGACATCAGCTAGAAATTAATAAATGGTTCATTTTAAATTCAGTTTCTATTTCTTCCATTATATTGGAAGCAAAGTGAAAAAATAACTCTTCTTTGGAAATACAATATATATATATATATATATATATATATATATATTCCTATTTTTGTAAAACTGCCTTTATTTACTCGCACGTATTCACACAGAGATGCTGTAAATATTGTTCACCCACTGTTGATAGGTGTGAGGCGGGGAGACAATAATAGGGCTTTGCCTGCTTTAATGTTTGTAAAATGAGCAATGCATCATCCTTTCAAATAAGGAAGCCATTATTCTACTTCAATAATTGCATAATCTTTCTCAACTCCCTGTATATCATTTTGTTCTAATTTCCCAGATCAGAGAAATGAGGGACCCAAAGGGGAAGGGACTTGACAGAAGAGTGACCTAATCGAGGACGATATCATAATAAATATGTGATGTGCCTACTGAATGTCATTATCCAATCTACTGATTTGGCTCATAAGAGGAAGAACTTGTAGTATAATTATATGTGCCTGGAAATAGGATGAACTGCTCCACACTGTAGGAAATTCCAAAGAGTACTCAACCTAATGCTAAAGCAGCCAACTCCTGTAGAAGGCCACCACACCCCAAGCACGTGTCAGTCAGTGAACTTTGAGGGTGCTTCCATTTCTGAAAATGCTTGACTTTCTGATGTAAAGTCATACAAAAACGTCGTGAATCTCTGTCACAGGCTGTAAAAATAATAGCATCAATACCACACACAGCTTTAGAATTCTACGATCTTAAATTGTTTCCACAAATACGTCGTATTTTCTTTCACCCCCATAACAACTCTAGAAATAGGTAGGACAGGTGTTATTCATTCTACCTTGCAATTTGGAAGGTAAAATTCGGAAAGAAGTCACTGGTCCAAGATCATACAGAGAGAATTGCAGAGCCACGGCTTGACTGTTTTTGATTCCATGCTTACAGCCTAGGCAGCTACTATATATAAACGTTTGCCAACAACAAATGTTTCATTTCCGCAAACAGGGCTTTCTGAGCAACTATACCTACTCAGTTCTAAATGGAAAGAAGGCTGAGTGGCTGCTATTACAATCTTTCTATCCTGTGTGAAGAACTGGAACTTCATGGAAAAGACATGTAAAGTAACCACATTCTATGCGTCCATCACGGCATCATTATAAAACAAACTTTTTTATTTTTTTATTTTGTAAGGAACTGAAGCTTTCTCAGAAAGGTTTGCTATTGTCCTCCTCTTAGATTCTAAACACAAGAAGTAGAAGTCACCCATTGCAATGCCGCATGGTTTAAGCAGCTGTTCATCAGAGGTAGCCTGAGAGCAGAAGTTTTCATGTGAGCTCTGATAAGCTGGACAAATGCATGTGTATGTGCATGTTTTGGACACCTGCTCTAAGCCAGCTGCTGAGAAGCACCTGGTTAAGCATACTGCAGCGGCTGGAAAGCAAGTGGAGTAAAGCCAGGGTGTGGAGCCGGGTCCACAAACGAGTCACCTCATTCACAACGACAGCAGCTGCTGAAATGTATTTAAGAGCATGGAGACAGGACTTCATGCAAATATTTGGGAGCAAAAATAATGGATATCTGGAAGCTTTTTAGAATTTAGAATTTATTTGATGTTTTTTAACAGGGACAACTTCAAGTGCAATGAAATTGAATAAAAGAAAAAATAAGAAATTGAATACAAGAAATAACTTAAATATGTGTGTGTGTGTGTGTGTGTGTGTGTGTGTGTGTTTTATATATATTTTTTAAGGAAAGAATAGATGAAGACTGCTCCTGGAAGTAAGACTTTTATAGCCACAAAAGAAATTTTACAAATGCTATTTAGGCTGTTAATTTTAAAACCCAAGCACAAAGACACAGTATGATATTCTGTGACTGTGACTCTTTGCAAGATTTTATCACCACTGGCAAACAGGAGGAAATGTACAAAATAATTTAAAAGCCATATTCAAATTCCTTTTCAATTGTGCAGACAGTGGCAATGTTGCTTCCACTGCTGAGATTTTTTTAAACTTCATCTTAATAACGACCTCGCCAATATATTCGAAATATTTAGAAAAGATAAATGTTCAAATTCTGCAATTTTCCCCCAGAATCAGACTTTGTTAAAACTAACAGCATCAGATTCAAGCCAGCTTAAAACAAGCATCAAATGCATTCTAAGGCAGCTATAACTGAAAATATGGATGAATCAAAAATATGAAAAACAGCAATAGAAAAAAATAATTCATTGGGAAAACATATTCAGTGAAATCCTCACTGCTCCTTCCTCTATAAAGACTTATGAACTCATGAATTACAGCTATGAGGCACAATCATTTAGAATGAACCACATATAGTATATTATAGTCAATCATGATAATATTTTCAGAGTCCATCCTCAGGGAAAGTAGTCACACAATGATTCTCTTTGCCATCACCTTCAGTTATCATAAAATTAGTTACAGAACAATGACACTGTCAAAATGCATAAACTTACAAAGCTAACACTAACCCATTCAAACAAAAATTTAATAACAATTGAACATAAACATAAAGTAATATTATATCAACATCATACATAAGTTAAGGGAAACATACATTTTACATGATAATGAGTGAAGAAGGTTTTCATATGTACATAGGGATGAGCCAGGAAATTGTAAATTTACTACATTTGCCTTATTGTCTTAAGGAGTATATGACATTGTTTCATTACTTTGGAAATAAAATTATCAATGGTGTGAGACATCGAGTTAGCTGGACCCCAGCTCATCAGAGCCAATTGTTAAATTTTAAGGACACTTGCAGGCTGGTTGTTAAAGCTTTGAAATCAGCCATAGTGGGCGCTTTACACCATGGTAACTGACAAATGCTACAGATCCAGCCTCCCAACCCCAGCCCCTATGGCTGGTTCACTAGCACAGCGATAATCTACATGCAAATACACAGTACAACGAATTCTCACAAAGTATGCCCACCTGGGCAACAATGAGGTCATGAACGAGAACATCACTATTACACCCAGAAGTCTCCCTTGTATCACCTCTGCATCAGTACTTCCTCTAGAGTCTGAAACTTGTCCAGTCTCAAGCATGTATTGGAAAGCAGCAATGTTAGCAAGGAGGAAGGAGGAAGGCAGTTTCACGTGAAAGTAGGCTCCCAGGAAAAGACGTAGCATGGCATACATTTATTTAACAGTAGCATGAGAAGCTGGGGGAAGGAAAATACGAAATCTTATGTGCTGTGCAGCTATATGAAGAGTTGAGAGGCACACGCATGTGTACAGGTCCTGTTCAGTGTATAAACCTTATGAAATGAAGATGGTTTAACGTATTGTAACAGTATTACCTATGATTTGTATACTAAAATCAGTATGTAGTACAAGAAAAGCTCAAATAACTACCACAAAGTAGTGATACGCAGCATTTGATTCCTGTTGATATTTGTAGGATTTTTCCTCCTCTAATTCATCCTAGTACATGCCTGTGAGAAGCAAAAGTTAAAATCCTTTCAGAATCATCTTACTCCTTAAGGAAAGCCAAGACCGTGGATACAAAGAGGACAGCATTTGACAGAAATCACACACCATACGGTGTTGGTATTGGAATTATGCTTGTAGGAAGTGATATATATATTAAACAAAATCTGGCTACTCTTTTTTGTCTTTGCCCCCATGATCAGTTTTATCACCTGGTTTACCATTTCCTACTCTCCATCTAAAAGTTGATTCTTAAAACACCAACTTAAGTTCTAAAAACTGAAGACAGGTAGACTTGTACAAAAACAGTTTGCCTCCTCATACATTTACTTATACTTAAGGCATTAAAAATAAAAATTACACTCTACAGATAGATGCGCATGTCTCAGTATTGAACGCTGTCTCATATTCAGACAAGGAAGTGCTCTAATGAAAACATCTGCCCAAAAGTCATGTTCAAAATAGGATTTTCACTGCAATTATACAGTTTGAGCAACCAACCTTTATTGTTTTCCTCTTCATATGGATACTCATTCATCCATTTGTTTCTAGAGTCACATTGATCCTGCAAGAAAAGCACACAAAAACAAACAATGAGGAAAAGTTCCACATGTTGATAACACACTTCCATTGGAGGAAAACAAAGAAAATCTAATTCTGCAATCCTTTAGGTTCTTTATTAGTGGAGTGACATAAACAAAATAGCTGAGGAATATGTTTTCCTTCGTTGCTTGTTTTTTGCTTGCTCTTTAGCACTCATGTAAAGGGCAAAATGGAGAAATGAGGGAAGAGAGGCAGAAATACCAGCTATGACACTGAGAAAGATCCTGGACACAAGATAATGAAAATCTGGAGAAAGATCAGGGAGGGAAGAATGAAAAAGAAAGGGATGCAACAGAGAGAGAAGCCTGAGAAGCAACTGGTAGAAAGTGGTTTAAAAGTAAATCTAATATATGAAAGAGAATTCACAAATACTCCAACTGGAGCACTTGGCTCCATTATTCTTAGCAACTAAGAGATTTTTTAATCATGCTGGTTTTCAGGGGAAATGTTTATGTGTTTTTTTTTCCTCTTTACAGATGATACAAATGTGCAGAATAATTAATATGATACATGATACATTTTTTTATGGCTCCATGTTGGCCAATACCCAAGCGACTTTTAAAAACTGATCTACGTTAATAAATGTCACCTCTTACAAATTAAGAAAATATAAAGTAAATATTTATATGGTCAAAAGCTTCCAAATCCCCAGGATCTTCCCAAATATAATTAAATATTGTTGGATTGAAGAGTTCTGACTAAAATGGACCATTTGCCCCATTTGTATATATCTTAAAAATACTCCTATTTGTCTTTTTTCCTCAACATTATGTAACTTGCTTCAGAATTTCCATTTCATGAGACAAATTTTCTTTGGCATTCACTTAAGCCAGCTTATGAGATGCAATTGACTTTTTTTTGCCCCCATTTAGAACTATATTCAAGAAGGGACACGCCTAGAGTCCTTAGACATTCTGTACCAATGTCCGTACTGCAGCACTGGGCCAGGTTTCCTTTGCATGTATTTCCATACATTTGAACAAAAAGAAAGAGTTCACTCACTCATAAGGCCCTACCCTAAAGGAAATGTACTAGAATTCACATGGGTGTAGCCGGTAAGGGGAACTGGCTTTAATTTTATCCCAGTTTTAAATAAATAAATATATATATATATACACACACACACACACACATAATATATGGATATATATATACACATACACATATATTCCTGTCTCTGTCTGTTTCTCTCTCTTATATATGTCTCTTATGTCTCAAAAACATACATCCCAATGCATACTACAGATTTTACTACTACTAGAAACATTACTAAAAGAATCAATCCTATATAATAAAAGGCTAATATGCAAATTGTCCCTTCAACCGGGAGTTAGACCAGGAGTTCAACTGGGAGTTTGACCAGGGGATGGGGCCAGCCGGCCAACCACCCACAGCCCCTCCCCCTGGCTAGTTGCAGCCCCTCCCCCTGGCCGGCCCCCTGACCCCAATAGGGGGGCAAGGCTGGCCCGCCAACCGCCCATGGTTCCTCCCCTGATCGCCCCACCCCTCCACCCCGACCACTGGTAAGGCTGGCCTGCCAACCTCCCGCGTCCCCTCCTCCCGGCCAGCCTGGCCCGATTGGCTCCAATTGGGGCAGGCCAGCCAGACGCCATCCGTGCATAAATTCATGCACCAGGCCTCTAGTATAATATAAATATAATATTTTAATACCAAGTGGCAGACTAGAAATATTCTCTTGAAATTTAGAGTATAATTCTTCTGTTTTACACTATGAAGCCATAATATGGAATCCCTTGAAAGAATTAAAAAGTCATTTAAACCACCATGTTCTTATCAAACACATATTGTCCTTCCTAGTCTTCAAAATATATCTAAATCAATCAGTTCCAACTTCTTAACAGAATATACCGGTACTTCAAAACTGGCTTCAATCTTACATTCTGGCTCCTTATATCTCAAAATGTGGTTGTGTAATTTTTTTTCCACATTTTAAAACGCCATGAGCGTTTTCACGAGCCAATTTATTAATGCTTAATCAAAAATTTATAATACCCCATTGTAGGGATACATAACACTCCATTGTCTAATAGGTTATGATCTGTTGCTATTACTGACAACAACTAAACACCCTTCTATGTAAATCTTGTGTACGCCGGAGCCTCTGTTAGCCTGGATGACCCCTTTGTGCAACTAGAAAAGATGCCCTCTCTAGAAAGACCCTAATCAGAAAGCGGGACCGGGTATTGGAGCCCAGCGTGAGCTTCCACTACCACTCACCCCCAGCCAGTCAGCCTTCACTTGGCGGCTCTAGTCTGCACCATTATTTCCTTAGAACATAATTATATTATTACTGGATCAAAATAAGATGAATTTTTTTAGGCTGTCAAAAAATATCACCAAATTGCTTTTTAAACAGACTATACCAATTTATATTCCCACCAGGAAAAGAAACACGTGCTATTAACACAGTGCCGTTCCCACGTTTATTTCCCTATACACAGCACAGGGCCTAACAAAATTTAGGAGATCGATAAATATTTGTCGAAAGAGTGAAACTAATAATAAGAAATGAAAGAAAAATAAAATAAAGAAAACTCCCCTTTATATCAATTGTGGATATCTTACCCAAGTAACTATAGACTTAATTATATAATCCTTTTTTTTTTACAATTAATCTGCAGACTAAAATAAACAAGACATTATTTGGATTACACATAATACAATATCCCACATTTTCACAGCATTTGGGGGTTTACAAAGTAGCCTAATGATAGCATTTGTTTTGAAACCAGTTCTCTGAGTTGAACACATGAACTATTTTAAGATCCATGTGACAGTGATGATCAGAGGTTAATTTTATATTCAAAGTAATAAGTTACATGATGCCAGGGTCCTTATAAACCCCCTTATCCCAAATCTTAATGCACAACTCTTTGTGGGTTAACTTAAATGTACACCTCTGTGTGTTTTAAACCTGCAGAAAGGCTGGTACAATGCTCACTATGGTTTTCCATTTATTTCCAGCATCTCTGAGAGCACTCAAGATCATCTCTGCCTCTGCTCCCATCCTGCACCTACACTTTAAGTAGCTCCAATGACAGTAAATAAGACACAGTTCAGAGTTGAAAAGACCTGCCCTAGCCTCACTTCCATCATCCACTGGCTGTGTAATCTTAAGCAACTCACTCAACCTCTCGGAGGCCCAATTTCCTTCTCCACAGCAGCAGCCCTGGCCAATGCGGCTCAGAAAATAGAGTGTCTGCCCACACACCAAAGGGTCACAGGTTCGATTCCAGGTCAAGGGCACGTACCTGGGTTGCAGGTTCTATCCTTGACCCTGGTCAGGGTGTGTGTAGGCAGTAACCAATTGATGTCTCTCTCTCTTACATTGATGCCTCTCTCTCTCCCCCTCTATCTCTCTAAACATCAATGGGAAAAATATCCTCGGGTGAGGATTAACAACAACAACAAAATAATACCTGTTTTATCTACCCCACCTACTCTAATTGAAGTAATTCTATACAAGTCTGTGCTGCCATACATGAGAATAATCACTCTTCAATCAACAGCCCAGGGTTTAAATAGGAAAAAGAATTCCCTAAATTAAGACCACAAAACAGACAGATGAATCTCTAATTTTATTCATGCTAAGTAAGGGGCCTTTGTGTTGTTCCCCAAATGCACATCAAAAGCAGGCCATGATATATAATAAAACAATGGCACATTTCCAATAAGTTAATATCTCATCAATCTCCTAATTAAGAGATTCCTTAGCTCTGCCAAATGGGCTTGTGAAATTATCCAGTAAATCTTCCCAAAGCACAGAAGTTTTAAAGGTCACTGTCCTCATCAAAAACTCATCGCAAATGGTTTTGGTCCTGCCTTTCCTGGATTCAAAAATATTTCTCCATTGTCAGGTGAAGAAAAGCAAAGGGTTGGTCACTTATTTCTATATGAAAAACATGACAAATAAGAAAAAATAAATTCTTACATGTTGAAAAGAATTTCCGATGTACTTTTAAGCAAAATTATTACTGCCTAGAACCAACTACTTATGTTTTAGTGGTAAGTCTGGAGAAATTCTTGTTACACCTGTTTCTCTTTAATAGCTACAAGCAATAGAGAATGATTTTCTAAATTCTTCACTTTCTGTTGTTGTTTTTCCTTTAAAATTGCCACACATGGTCAGCCAGCTTCCTTTAGAATTTAAAGAGTTCCCCGGACAGCAGAAATGACCTTGGCCAGGATGAAAGTGCATGCTCCCCAGTTTAATGAATAAAGAGTTACTTTGGAATAATTATCTCAGAGTACAAGCACTATATTACCCTGTAGTAAAAGGGCGCTGGCTCTTCATCACATCCTAAATGATCTATTCTCAATCTTTAAAGGTTAGTGTTTAATACATTCTAAATACTTCAAGACCCATAAGTTCACTAGTTGCTAGTTCCTCTGAGAATCGCTTTATGCATCTTCAAGAGAAGGAGAAGCACATTGTAAGGTGTTTATAGACACCTGACTAGTCAGGGTATTCCACACTCTGCACAAAGGTAATTTAGTTGCTCTGTTTCGAGTAAATTGAATTCTGGTGCTGATGCAGCAACTCCATTCGCAATTCTGTCTTCTAGAGTCAGCTTTACAAATCACTGCTTCATTAGCTGTGATCTTGTGTTTTCAAACACTGATTTTTAAAAAGTCAAATAATAAGGTTGTATATACACATTCATTTCAGTGACTATAATTTTTAAAGCCGATTAGGGAACTCAACAGGCACTTAAGTCTGAGATATTATATAACAGATCCATGTTGGCCTTACTCTCTATCAAGGTCTCTGATATATAAGTTGCCTTTTTTTTATGCAAAGTTATTTCTGTTTATCTGTCATGGTGAGTTATCTTGGGAACTAAAGGTAGTTGAAGGTTAATCTAAATATTTCTGGAGATAAATGTAAATCTAAGTACCACATTTTCATACCTGTTTTCACTTAAATGAAATGGCACAAAGCACTA